GAGTCTCAGCGAGCAACAACTTGTGGATTGTGACCATGAGGTAATATTTATTCAGTACTTCATTTGTTTTATTCATTTACCTTTCATGTTTTGATTGAAGTTAGTTGTGATTTTCTGATTTGTGTGAGCTTTATTTTACTTCTAGCCGTACTATATTATTGAACTGGGGCTGAAGATTTTGTTGGATTGGTCATACAAGTAACTTTGAATTTGGTGAAGATTCTTTATGGTTATGATATTAAAGACAGCATAACAGAGATCTAGATATCAATTTGTTTACTTATTAGTTAACTGTGGTTTGTAGTTAGGGGTGGTGCAATATTTATTTTTTAAGTTTGGGTGGCTCTATTAGTTGTGAAGAGTAACAAAGAGTAAAAGGGTCAGTTATGGAAAGGGCTCAAAACTCTATAATTCTTAGAGAAGTCACTCTCCTTCTGGATTTCCATTGTTGAATTATATGGCCTTATTTTACATGTTTGCTTTCTGTAATTGTCCATTACTGTTCAATATGCAAAAACATTCGTCTGTAGGGATTTACTGGAAAATTCTACTTATTCTATTTGCAACTTCCGGAAAGAATTGAATGTCACAACCATGGTATTTTCGGTATTTTTCCTAAAAATAAAAAATTGATGCTAAAATTCCACGTTTTTACTGCAATTAGGCGAGGTTTGACATGGTTAAAAGTAACCGAAGTGAACAAATTCTTAAGGTTATACTATTACTGTATGTCAATTGTCTACTGTGTTTTAGCAGTTCACAAGGTGATATGATATTGAGAACACAGTTGGCACAATCTCTCAATGGTATCTTTTAGTGCCTTCAATTTGAGTTTTCTATCTGCAGTGTGATCCAGAAGAAAAAGGTTCGTGCGACTCTGGCTGTAATGGTGGACTCATGAATAGTGCTTTTGAATACACGCTCAAAGCCGGTGGACTCATGCCAGAAGAAGAATATCCTTACAGTGGCTCAGATCATGGAGCCTGCAAGTTTGACAAGAACAAGGTTGCTGCCAAGGTAGCTAACTTTAGTGTGGTTTCCCTTGATGAAGATCAAATCGCTGCAAATCTGGTCAAGAATGGTCCTCTTGCAGGTATCTCTGCCTTACACTATATATCTTGTTTCTGGATTACATAATTTTCAAATGGCTATTTCAACTTTCTGTTGATGTGGGCTTTATTTTATGTGTATGAAAATTGTATATATCTTGAAAATGACCGTCATTTATGTATTGATTTAATTAAATCCATCACTCTTCTCCTATGTTAATTGCATGTATCTTGAATTATCTTAAACACATCATTCCAAAGTGAAAAAAAGGACATGCATGCGTAAACTCATAAAAGGTTCTCTATGCTATGCATAATGAATTTTTCACAAATGTCAGTTGTTTATTCTATTTGTAGTATCATGTGATAGGATTTCTAACAGCAAACTTATTATCTTTCTTGAATGCAGTGGCTATCAATGCGGTTTTCATGCAGACATACATTGGAGGAGTATCGTGTCCATACATATGCTCTAAGCATTTGGATCACGGTGTCTTGTTGGTAGGTTATGGTTCGGCTGGCTATGCTCCAATTCGAATGAAAGAAAAACCATTCTGGATCATAAAGAACTCGTGGGGTGAGAAGTGGGGAGAGAAGGGATACTACAAAATTTGTCGTGGCCGAAATATCTGTGGAGTCGACTCAATGGTTTCAACCGTTGCAGCTGCAAGTACCTCACAGTAGGATATGAATTAGTATTACCTTCATATTGACTCACCTTAACTCAATTCTGTACGTAAAAGTGTAACTGATTCCATAACTACAAACTTTCTTCCTTCTATTTAAGACAAAACACCGATTTATTAGAAGATTGTTCACTAAATGTTTAGCCCTTCATCTTTTTATTTCTAACAACGAATGAAGTCCATGGTTAAGTAGCATAAACAAAAGAATGGGAGCAAAAATCATTTATCCAACTATCATAGTATCCCTGCTTGTACACACTTGATCTTGTTGACGTTGAAAGCAGGGACGTATTTGGGTGGGGGGGGGGGGGGGGGCCCCGGGCATCGTGTCCATACATATGCTCTAAGCATTTGGATCACGGTGTCTTGTTGGTAGGTTATGGTTCGGCTGGCTATGCTCCAATTCGAATGAAAGAAAAACCATTCTGGATCATAAAGAACTCGTGGGGTGAGAAGTGGGGAGAGAAGGGATACTACAAAATTTGTCGTGGCCGAAATATCTGTGGAGTCGACTCAATGGTTTCAACCGTTGCAGCTGCAAGTACCTCACAGTAGGATATGAATTAGTATTACCTTCATATTGACTCACCTTAACTCAATTCTGTACGTAAAAGTGTAACTGATTCCATAACTACAAACTTTCTTCCTTCTATTTAAGACAAAACACCGATTTATTAGAAGATTGTTCACTAAATGTTTAGCCCTTCATCTTTTTATTTCTAACAACGAATGAAGTCCATGGTTAAGTAGCATAAACAAAAGAATGGGAGCAAAAATCATTTATCCAACTATCATAGTATCCCTGCTTGTACACACTTGATCTTGTTGACGTTGAAAGCAGGGACGTATGGGGGGGGGGGGGGGGGGGCAGGCCCCAGGCCCAACAAATTTTTTTTAAAGGTTATTTTTATTTTTTTTGGTAAAAAATCAATTTTTTATGTGTAAATTTTTTTTTCCACGTAGCAGTCCGATTTGAAATTTTATAGTCCGGTCTTGGATTCAATTCTGAATTCGTCCCTGGTTGAAAGTTGTTGAAACATTCAAGTAAATTGTCGAGTTGAAGGTGGTGTGAAAGGTCAACCATACTCCGATGTCATTGTCAGTGTTTGGATTGGAAATAAAGTAATTTGTTGAAGAAGGGGTGTGTACATCATTTACGCTATATGTACAGAATAAGGCTAGGGATGGCAATTTACCTTGTCTCGTCTCGGCCCGAACCCGCCCCATGAAAAAAAATATATAATTAAAAAATTAAAAATAATTTTATTTATAAACAATTTACCCGTTAAAAATTCATTTTGAATTTGTATTTTATTTTCTAATAATAGCATAATTTAAAACTTTCAAAATATAAAAAAAAAATAAAAAAAATTAAACGGAACAACAAATGGGGCAAAAAGTTGCCCCGTCCCCGCCCTGCCCTGCCCCATCTAAGGGGGGTTGGGGTGCGGGGTTTTGGCCAAGCGGAGCAGGGTGGGAGTGCCCTGCCCCGAACCTGCCCTGTTGCCATCACTAAATAAGGCTCACAGATTTTTTCAGATTAGACACATGGAGTGGACCCTATCTAATTAAAATATTATCAAAAAAATCCCACCCACCCATTGTATTTGATTTGGTGGGGTTATGTGAAATCCCATCATGTACGTGTATCATCTGTCGTGTGTGCATACCTCGATTAGTTGGAAAATATGCTTTTTGGTATGGAAGTTTTTTGTTGAGAATGTGTTTTGGCGGTTGTTAGTGGTCAACATCTCTTTAAATTCTGAGATGATCATGTGACTCATGGAGTAGCTACAAGCTAGACATTATTCATTGTGTGTCAAAAATTAAGTTTTAAATTTTTTTTCTAGCAACATAATATTAATGAAAAAATCAATATATTATTACAAATGTTGCCTATGTGTTTTCATATTTTGAAATTATCGTATAATTATATCGTTATAAACATTATCAAATACTTCGTTTTCAATATACACGTTAGATTCTCAACGAACTGTCGAATCTCCAATGAAATTGCATGGTTCAAACCGTGGGTTGAGGGATTTGAGGATTCTAGTGTTGAGAAGGAGAAAAAAGTTGACCTTAGTGCATATTAGCTACATGGGAAAAGACAGTTATTTGGTCAAAATGACAAACTTAGGTATTGGGGGAAGAATGAGATTCGGGACTTGAGACATGTTGGGAGGTAGAAAGCAAATTTTTATGAACACACGATAATAAATGATGTTATGGCTATATATACTGACTATGTAGTTAGAGAATTAAGCACAAGGCTGTTTCATAAATTACTATTATGTTGATAGCCTTTCACTTGCTTTTCTATGTGACGTTGGACCCTTGAATTAGGTTTTCCTAATGTAATTATTAGTGTTCTAAAAACATGTCTAGGGGCGTTGCGTGGCGAAAATGCCAAGTCACTTGGAGCCTTATTTAGCGTTGAACGTTAACCGATAATGTGTGCCTCCTTTTTCTTTCTTTTTTTTAAGTTAAAACTTAAATGTTGATTTTTTCACTTCGTTAGTTGAAGTCTTGAACAAAAGAAAATCCCTACAATTTCTATTTATTTACTATCTAGTATTTACATTTGAAATTTATCTTTTTATTGAAAACTTTGAAAAAAATTTATAAAAGATGTTTGGCAGGTATTATTTTTAATTATTAAATGATTTTTTGATTGATTAAAAATTAAAATAATATTAAAATAAGAAAACACATTTTCTTTTTAACGCATATATCTCGTCTAACCCATAGTCTGACCTCTACATATCGCCACATATTATGCTTTTTAGAACACTGGTAATTATAATGAGTCCCTATTCTACTGTGTGCCTCAATTTATTATTTACGAAACCAAACTACTCCTCCATCTCCCATGAAATGTGTAGGTTTCATTCCTTTATAACCAATTTGTAAGCATTTGACGAACAAATGTGGGTTTAATTGACAAATTTTATAGCAACATATCCAATTTTTCACATCCCAACAATTCCTAAACTTCATATCGAACTAAATCAACTATCCAAACAATTTAAAAAGTCAATATTTTAAGATTAAAAATGCCTTAAGTCGCTGTTTGAAGCTCATTCTTCAAAATTCGTTTTCAATAAAAATCATTTTTAACTAAATCCATTCTTAAAAATTAGGCTCGAAAAGGGATAAAATATAAACACCAAAGACAGCATTCATGAACAATAGTCAAAATACATACAGAATTCCAAGACCAAATTTACACGAACTTTTCACAAATTTGACCTTTATACCCTTACTAGATAAAGCAGAGCTGCACACCAAGTCCATGCTTGCCATACACACAGCCAGGCCTATTATAGTAATAAGACACCTTCTTTGATTTGTTGATCCTTGTCCCGCCCCTCTTCCCTATCTTCCTTATCCTCTGCTTCCCGAACCTGTTCTTCAGTTTCAATGGCACCAATTCATCATCCAATCCCGATCCTTCATTTTCATCATCATATTCACTATCATCATGATACACCTGATGAGTAAAATCAACGTGTAGAGTCAATGGAGGTGGTGAGACTGAGAGAGATTCCATGAAGATGGTGTCATCATGTGACGGAGGGTGAGGGTCAAGCGTCGGCCCTTCTTGTTCGGACTCCACGGCGGAGTAAGCGACGTCGTCGAAGGAGTACAGTTCTTCTTCATCGTCGGATTGAGATGGGCTAACGAATTCCCACGAGGACAAGTCGTCGATTGAATCAATAGTTTCTAGACCAGATACGCCGTTCTTCGTCATTATTGAGGTGGCTTTTCGCCAGATTTTATACATTTCTGCGTTCTGATTTTTTTCTCAGTGATTTCTGGAATTGTGATTTGTGTTTAGCGTTTTGTTGCTTCGCTATTTATATGCGTTGAAAGGACTCTTAGCTAAGGGAAAACAAGAGACAATCTACACGCTTTAAAAATATTATTAGGCCGCTTGATTTTTGAAAAGTGAAAAGAAACTTTTGAAATTCAATTTGTTTGACTAATTTTAAAAATGTTCCTCTTTTAATTAAAAAACTTTTAGAGAAAAGCTAATCTGATGTAATTTTCTCTAAAAATATTTTCGAAATAAGAAATCTTTTAAAAATTAGTCTCTAAAAGAAAATTAAGAGAATGTTTGATGAGGATTAAAATTAGATTTTTTAGTAGATTGTGATGAAAAATTTTGAAATGTATAGTTAATAAGTTGTAGGACTCATGAAAAATGTGATGAATATTGATTGTTTCACTTTGACTTAAATTAAAATTAGATTTTAATTCAAACCAATCAAGATCTAAGATAGCATTCTTCAAAACTTCTTCTAAAGGAAGTAAAAGGCATGCCAAATAGACCATTAACCTCCTCTACTTCTAAATTTGAGCGTCGCATACACCTTTTACCATTTTTTGAGCTATCTATCATTTTATGTGTCGATGTATCTAATGTCTTTTAAGAAAAAGGTGATTCTTTTACAATTAATTATAATTTAATTTATTCTCTTTAATAATTACTTAAAGATTTTTTTGGGAGATACAATTTTAAAAATGCATGCTAGAGTAATGTTGTCTGTGAAGTGACATGATTTGAGTAATATTATTGGTAAGCACTGCATACAAACAACAATTGAAATGTATTTAATTTATTATAAAACATTGCAATGGCCTCACATTCAAATTAAATATTGGAATAATATTATTTATTACTAGTAGTGTTAGAAAAATCAATTTTAGCCATCACTCTTGATTTGATTAAATGAGTTACGTGATATTACATTTAATTGATCTATCATTTATTATTATACAATTGTCACTTAAAGTGATACTTGGTATCAATACTAGATAGCATTATCCTTAATATTGATAATCGACAATACGAAGAATTGCATTATCGGAGCGTGGGTATTTCTCGTATTGGGCCCCATGCAGAGACCAAAAATTTCAACAAAAAGTACACTTTTTTAACCCTTTTTTCCTTTACTTTTTCTTTCTTTTCTCTATTACTTTTTTACTTTTATTTGTAAAAGGAAAGATCCCTTGCAGTTGCAGCATAATTTGGTGCTGTGGTGTTTTCCTTCACTCCAAGGAAATAGGTGTAAGGCTGCTTTCTTGATGCCAGGATTAGAACATCAACCCAAACTACTAAAACAGTGTTCAGTTTGGTATGCTGCAGAAAATTTAAAAATTTTCTCTTTAATATTGTTCGGCATCTTACCAAATAATTCAGACAAGTACCAAACACACCACAGCAACCTTTGATATAATTAATTAGCAAGAAACTAATTTTATAATGGAAAATTCCATTTGGACATCATGGAGTGGTGTCCCCCTTACAATATATGGCGGGACCCACGTGAATTTAAAAATGCTAGCCCGTGGTTCCCATTCCTGTTGTGAATAATATGTAAAAGATTCCTTACGTGTAACATTGTCCTTTTATAATTACTTAGACACACTTCAAGGCGATATGCTGCTGGTTCAGGCTTCAATCTTTGTGTTTAGATACTTGTAATTTCTTAAACAATGATCATTGTCCATAGATCTTCAATAACAGCACAAAGGAGGATAAATTTGAGATGATTCTTCAGAAACAAGATAGGACACCACAGTTTCAATTTGAACTAAAAGCGTGCTCCTGTGGATAACTCGTTCTCAAGTAAAAGAAGCGACTTCATATGGGCCCGAGTTTTCTATTGACAAGGCTAATAGGCCCAATGAGGCACCATTATGTGGAAATGACACAATTCCTCACTTTAAAAATCACAATTCTAAAATAAGATAGGTAGTTTAACCTTTCAAAAATCAGAGGTTGATATTTTTAATTACCTCATTTACCACACAATTTCAACCCAAACCCTAATTCTCTCTCCCCTATCTCGCTTCTCCTTCCATGAGTTGCTACACCGCCTCTCGTCTTCTGCTTCACTGAGCTTCGCCAACCACCACCATCAAAGGCAATCCATACACAAACCATAGATGGCGAGCGCCGACATGATGTCGCCTCTTGGCTTCTCCTTCACTGAGCCGCTTCCCCATCTCTCATATTCTCCTTCAATGAGCTGCAACCAACCACCACCGATGAAGGCGATCCACACACAAACCACCAAAGGGTGAGCGCCACGCATGACAGCGCCAACATGACTGCACACATCCAGCGGCCTTTTCGTTCTGGTGATGGCGATTTTGAGAATCTGATTTGTTGGTGGTGCTTGGGTGGCTATGGCGGCGATTTGTTGGATTTGGGGATGACGGTTGTTTTGTTGGTGTTGGTAGTGGTGGATTCTCGATGGCGAGTTTGTTGGATTTTGTTAGTGGCAATGGGGTGATGGTGGTTTTGTTCGTGTTGGCTGTGGTATGTGATGTGGGTGGGATGGTGCATTGTCGTGGCTCTAGCGACGGCGATGACTTTATTGTGGTGGCTCCACTTTGGCAGTGGTGTGGTAGTGGTGTGGCGGTGTTGCTGTAGGGGGGTGTGTGTGGCGATGGTGTGATGGTTGTGGTGGTCATGGCGGTTTGGTTGATGTTGTGACAAATAATTGGACTTGTGACCTAAAAATTGTGATTGTGCTCCGAGTTATAACTTACAATTTGGGAGTCACAATTGATCGTAGCGATTTTGGTGGTCATGGTGATGGTCGTGACGGTTTGGTTTATTTGTGACTCACAATTGGATACGTGACCTGAAAATTGTGACTATGAATCATAAGTGTTGGTGGTGGCCACAAATTATTTGGTTGACTGTGACTATTAAATTGGTTGATCTGTAATCAATAAATAATATGTGACCAATAAAAAAAATAAATTGTGACCGAAAAATAATGTGTGACGTAAAAAATTGTTAATATGTGACCAATAATTTGTGATTATAATAATAAGTCGTGACTTGTAATATTTATGATCTGTGACCAATAAATAAATCGTGACTTATAAATTTTTCAATTTGTGATATATGAACAAATTGTGACTTATAAAATTTTTGAACTGTGATCGTAAAATAAATTGTGACATAAAATTTCTAATTTCTGACTAAAAAATAATAAGCGACGAGTTAAATCTTTAATTTGTGACCAAATTATATAAATATGTGACTTAAATATATTTAATTACTAAATTAATTAATTATATTATAAATAATTTTTAATAAATATATGATTTTTGAAATTTGAAACTTGTTTGCTTACTTTTAAAATGTGCCATAATTAATCTCTTACTTATGAAATTTTCCCCACCATTATTCATTGGTTAGCCCAAATAGTGGACTGTTTTACATGCACAGTCCATTATTCATCGTAGCAATTTTATTTCAGAAAATTGAATTATACTTGCAAACTAATTTTATTTGGTTCAATCTAAAAATTATTTTAAGTAAATTGTACCCTTTATTCTCAATTATTTTGTATTTTGAAGTTAGCCTCAAACTGCATATGCATTCCGTACTAGACAAGATTATCAATATTACAGGAAAATTCGTCTTTTTATTTTTACTTTTTGTCTATTAAAGAGAGTTGAGATAGAAGTATAAACAATGATTTATGCAAAGTGGGGATTACATTCAAGATATGTGCTGTTCTGTACATTACAAGCTCGAAGAAAACCACGAACTTCAAATTTATCATGTTCTACACACATAAACACACATTCAGGCTGCGTTTCTCAGGGAGAAAACAATGATATACCATTTAACGAGTTACATATAATTTAACTAATGAAATGGCACCTGAGGAAAATACCAAGCAGAAGAAGAATGATAAATTTAGTCTCATAATATTGACTAAATCCATTACTACTCGATCAGTGGTAAGAGTCGGAGAATTTTCTTCACCTTTTTCTAGAGGGCGTGGTCAAGTGAAGGCAAAAATCCTATCTGCAATATTTGTTCGGCAGATTGGACATTCAGAACATGCAAGGGAACAAGGTTTACACACTGCAAAGGAGGAGTAACAAATTTTATTATTGCTTTATTGAGAAAAGCATTGAAAAAAAAAAAAAAAAAAAAAAAGGCTCATGATCGCGAAGATAACTTACAGCAAAAATGGCGACAAGGAATAAGCATTGCAGCTGCAGGCGATTCAAAACATACTTTACAGACGTGCGAATTTGCATCTCCATTCCCAGTGTATCCAAGTTCTTTCTCCTTCATCTCTTGAATCCTAGCCTGAATCAATACAAAAGGCACAACAATATTATACTGTAGTTTTATAGGAAGATAGACAAACACAAATAGATTGTATACTGGAATTTTTATAGTCCAGTTTTTTTTATGTTTGTTATCTTTAAGGGGCTACAAATTCAAATTATAAAGAAGAAGAAAACAAAAATAAACGATAATCAGAAGATGCTAAGGAGACTATTAAATCCTTGGGCTTGATGTAGTCATTAAAAAAATAATAATAAAATGAAATAAAATGGACACTAGTCAGTAGTCATTAAAAAAATAATAATAAAATGAAATAAAATAAAATGGCAAGATTAGTTCAAGAAATAACAAAGAAAATTAGAATGAAAAGAAAACAAACAACGGCAGATGCAAATATCAATTACCTTCAAGCGGACAACAAGAGATTCTTCTTTGGAAATGTTGGAAATTTGGGTTGTATGATCTTGAGCTTGCCTACCCTTGAGAACTGGGTCCTTAAGGTCAGTATCATCCGATTTTAGATCCTTTATACGATCCCTGACATCATTTTGCCTCCCATTAATCTTTGATTCTGGATTAACACTCCCATCTTTCTTTAGCTGAGCAACGAGAACCCACATGTTTGCTAAATCATTTTC